AAAAGTCCCCTGTTATTCATGGTGTCATAGACCAGTGTTTCTCAACTTTTATAAAGTACCCCTTTAAAAAAAATTAAAAGTACGCCCCAGACCTACAGTTCAGACACCCAATTTTTTTTTTTCTACCATTACAACACATTTGTTTAAACAACTTAATCATAGCGTCCCGGACCTACAGTTCAGGCACCCAATTTTTTTTCCTACCATTGCAACACATTTGTTTAAACAACTTAATCATAGCCTGGCAGGCAATGAAATGTTTGTACTTTTTACACCCAAAAATAAAGCGCTGTAAAACTTATAACAAAAATTCACTTCTCCAAATTTCAGTTGTGTTGACATACCCACAGTGGTATGAGTACCCTTGGGGGTACCCAAGAAGTCTGGGGGGGTATGTCTACACTACCGGGTACCCCCCAAGGGTACTCGTACCACTGGTTGAGAAACACTGTCATAGATCTTAAGGTCAGAAGGGATCCTTCTGACCATTTAGTGAACTGAAGCATCTCATAGAAATACATTCCCATTTCCTTATACATGATCATTTAGTGAACTGAAGCATCTCTTATAGAAATACATTCCCATTTCCTTATACCCACTAGATTGTAGCTATCTTTGGGGCAGAGGCCATGTTTATCCAGTGCTTAGCTGAGTTGGGTCTGGCCCATGTCAAGACTGCTAGGTACTTCAGTAAAACAAACAAATAATTAAATACCATCACCACCACTTTTGATGATCCAATATCAGGACTGTTCTCTTGCTTATTGTGGCAACTCTTTTGGGGGTATCTTATAAGGATCCTGTTGAGGGGAGGCAGGACCAATGGTCAGATCAGAGTCAACCCTGAGGCCAAGAGTAGCAGAAGAGTGCAAAGTCCAGTTCAGAGTTCAAGTTGCAGTTCAGGTGATGCAGTGGAGGTCCAAATCAAGGCAATGTCAAAGCCAGGAATACAGAAATAATCATGGCAGCTGCAGAAGGCTCACCCTATTGCCTGACACTTCATAGAAAGATCCTGGGGTTAATATAAGACAGGGAGCCAATCAGGAACCATGAGGCTACTGCCTGTCAGATCTTGAGGTGGGACTTCCCATGGTCTGGGTCTGCAGGGGGTTGTGTGTAGGGGACCATGAGATGGCTGCTGCTTCAGCTTGGTGGCAATGCTGAGACGCTCATTGCCTTAGCCACTCCACAAGCCTAGCTTCAATACCTGCTGGGCCTTATAATACCTCAGATCTTCCTTTGTGCCCCTACCATCCCACATTTGAAGAGAGCACTGATCTATCCACATCTGCCATGACTTTTCCAGAACTGAGGCAATTTGTGCTGTTACCAGTGGAAACTGAAGAAAAGCAAATGCAACATCTGTATTTTAAATGAGTGATACAGTTCCTGTCAATATGTAGAGAGAAGTGCAGCTATACATTGTGCAGACCTAATGCCCTGTATAGCATGTTAGCTAATCCTACTCACTGAATTCTCCTTCAACACTCCTTTCAGCTTACATAATGAAAGAATTATTTTGATTTTTTTAAAAAGTCATCTATCCCAGGCTGGAGGCACCCCAGCTTTTCTTTAATATATACCAAGAAAGAGAAAGCATGTGATTGTTACAGTGCGCTATTGTCCGCCATAGTTCACAGTCAAGTTTATAGTTCGAGTTGTGGCAAGGATTCTGGTCCTAGTTGTCAGATCCCCAAAAAGGGGCCAGGTTGCCAAGGAGGAAGGGAGACCTGGGCCCACCCTCTCTCCAGGTCTCAGCCCCAGGACCCTAAGAACAGGTTCTGATACCTGTTCAACTGGTGGGGAGTCAGTCCCAAAACTCACTGGTCCACGGGAAACATCTTGCCCTGTCCTGGGCTGCTTCCTTCCCTCTGCGAACCCTGCTCCGGTTCTGGCTCCCCCTCTAGTCCCAGCTGTTGCCCCTTCCTCAGCTCTGTCGGTCTCATCTCTGATGGGGCTCCTCCCTCCTTTAAACCCGGCGCCCTGTCTCCAGGACGTCGGCGCATGCACTCCTGCCCCCGCCTGGAGCGTCCCAGCCAGGACACACCGCGCATGCACTTTCAGCTGTCCTCTCGGCAAGCCCGGCTGAGCCGCTCCTCCTTCTGACGCATGCGCTCCTCGCCCGGAGGGTCCGGGCTGGGATGCACTGCGCATGCATCTCCTGCGGATGCTGAGCAAGCTCAACGGAGCCGCTTCCTTTTCGGCATGGGGGCTCAGCCTGGCTCTCGTGAGGGGAGCAGGACTCCTGCCTTTTGGTCCCACTTCCCCGTCATAGTGATCTTTGTTCTATTTTCCTGTGGGTGTAGGAGAAGTAGTTCCCTGTGTAAACAATGCTTCTGACAGAAGACATGTGACAGGTGTCTCACCAGTAGAGCATGAAAACATTCCATTGGATAGACACCTCTGCAAGAGATTGTCACTGATCAACGTCAAGTGCTGGATCCCGCTCTCAGCGTTGCTGTGATTCATACTGTGCAGCTTGCAATTAGGAATGAGTAAACATATTCGACTACAATGTAAACTAACCTGAACCTATTCCTGTGGCTTTAATTAAACATCTGTTGCAGACAGAGTTTGGGTATGGATATCCACCACATAGGCACCAACTTTCTCTGGGCCCACTTCTACTCAATTCCTTCCCCCAACTCCCCACCTCTATCCTGCTTCTTCCCACCCTTGCTCCAACCCCAGGCGCTGCCCCCATCCCACCCATTTCCCCCAATTCTCCAACCCCACCCTCTCTTCCCACTCTCCCCTTTGCATAGCCCATCTCTGCTTCTCCCCGAGCCTCCTGCATGCCATGAAACAGAACAGATTGTGGCAGATGGTAGGCCCTGAGAGGAAGGGGGAAGGGTTGGTTGGTGGGGCTGTGCATGGGCAGGAGTGAAGGGGAAGCTGGCTGCTAGTGGGTACTAAGCACCTGCTGATTTTTCCCCATGGGAGGACCCACAGAGTCAGAACCTATGATTCACCTTACCAAGGAGGGGCCATTTCAGACCCTTCTATCTCTTCTACTGTCCCTTCCTGCTGCCCTCTACAGACCTTAGTAGCCCGCAACTGTCCCTGCAACACATTCCACCTCTCACTGATCTTTCTCTCATCTCAATATTATTTCTGCCTTCAAGAGATAAACTTCATATGGGGAAAACAATCAGCTTTCATGAGCCTATGCCTTCATGCTAGGAACTCTGGAGAGAGACCCCTTCAACCCTGATCCATCAGAGCCCCAGATCATGGGCTTAGCTTTAAGTCTGCCTCAGTTACCCAAGAACAATGTCCTGGCTCTTAATGCCAAGGAGTGGACACACTCCTGCAGTGTGCCAGACCCTTAAAAGGTCCCACACTTTCCCAAGAGTAGGCCTCAATGCCTGCCAGAACTGGTCTATGTTATAAAGTTAGGTCAATATAAGCAGTCTTGAGCTGATCTAGTTGTGCAGGTGTACCCCTCCTTGGCACTGAGACACAATGTTCTGAGGTCAACGCAGCACAGATATTGCTATCTGCTTTTCATTCTCCTGAAGAGCTAGCCAGGAGGGGCAGGGATATTCCTCACCTAATAAGCCATCTTGTTAGTCTTTAAAGTGCTACATAGCCCTGGTTTGTTTCACTTTAAATCCTCATGAGAGATCCCAATGAAATGATCATGATAGTACACTGGGATCTTCTGCTGAAGGCTGTAGCACCACCTCTTGTTGAACATGGTGCCAGTGCTCAGTGCCATTTCCCCATGCCTGGTTGCATGAAATTATGGGTAATTCCTTTCTCAACTCCCTGACCCTTTGTGGGCCACACTTACCTCAGCAGGTGCTGTGCATGAGCATGCCAAACAAAACAATCAAGTATCTGTAGGGCAGTTCTCAACCTTGACTTTTGTTTTGCAGTGTTATAATGGACAATGATCTCTCTGTGTTTAGCTGCAGCTGTTACCACTGCCTTGAGGGTTTTCCCCTGCATACCTACAGAACCTCTGGCCCAACTGAGGCAGAGAAAGAAGAGGATTTGGATTAACATGAGATACTGCAAGGCAGGGCTGCATCAGACTAGGAACAGAAGGTCATACTATATGGGAAGGAGAATGGACAGAAAAAAGGGTTGCAGAAAGACAAAGGAGATGAAGATGCACCAAGAATAATGGCCTCATAGAAGATTAGATTTGGAAGAGACCTCAGGAGACCATCTAGTCCACAACAGGACCAACCCCAACCAGTGCCAAGCAAACAGAAGAGAGTAAATCACTTACAATCAATCCTCTAGCAATCTCCTACTAATGCAGCCCAATATGCCATTAGCTTTCTTGGTAACAAGGTCACACTGTTGACTCATGTCCATCTTGTCATCCACTTTCATTCCCAGGTCTTTTTCTGCAGAATTGCCACTTAGCCTGTTGGTCCTCACCTGTAGCAGTGCTTGTGATTCTTCCATCCCAAGTGCACTTATGCTTATTGAACCTCAAAGATTTATTTTTGCCCACTTCTCCAGTTTGTCTGGATAACTCTGACCTTTCCCCTATCCTACAGAATATCTAGCTCTCCCCTCAGCTTAGTGTCATCTGCAAACTTGCTGAGGGTGCAATCCATCCCCTCATCCAGATCGTTAATGATGTTGAACAAAACTGGTCCCAGGACTGACCAGCTTGATACTGGCTGCAAACTAGACATCAAGGTTTAATCACATTGAACCCATTGAATTTAACAATCTAGCCAGATTTTTTTATCCACTTTGTATTCCATTAATCCAAGCCATAATTTTTACTTGCTAGAAAGAATATTGTGGGAGACCACATTAAAAGCTCTGCAAAAGTCAAGGTATATCACATCCACTGCTTTTCCCATATCCACAGATGGAGTTAACATAGCATAGAAGGCAATCAGGTTGGTCAGACATAACTTGCCTTTGGTGAATCCCTGTTGACTGTTCCTGATCACCACCTTCTCCTCCAAGTGCTTCAAAATGGATTCCTTAAGGATTATTTTTCCAGGGACTGAGGTGAGGCTGACTGCCTGTAGTTCCTCAGATTCTTCTTCTTCCCTTTTTTAAAGTTGGACATTACATTTTCTGTTTTCCATTCATCTGGGACCTCCTCCAATTACCATGAGTTTCCAAAGATAATGGCCAATAGATCTGCAATTACATCAGCACCCTCATATACATTAGACCCAACCCCATGGACTTGTGCATGTCCAGCATTTCCTAATAGTCCTTCACCTGAGGGCTACACATCTCTTCCCCATACTGTGCTGCACTGGGCAACAATCTGGGAGCTGACCTTGTTCCAAGAATGTTACCTGCACAAATTTCTCTATCCCTTCCACAATTTAGGGACATACACCTTTACCCAGTTCCTAGGGGGTCAAGGTGCAACCCTATTAATTTACACACTGTGGCAGGCCCCTCCCACCTGCCCTCTTAAGTCCAAGGCCCTCTGGCCCAAGTCCACAAGGCAATTTATAGCTGGCCCTTTAAGCAGGGCCAAGGCCCTCCGGCCTGAGTCCACAAGGTAGATCAGGGTTGTAGCAGGGACACACCCCAGGTAGGGGGACCCAGGCCCACCCTACTCCACCGGGTCCCAGCCCAGGGCCCTGTGAGCGACCGGCTAACAGGTCACTCCCTCGGCGGGGTAATCTGGCTGAAACATGCCAAGGTTCTCGGGGTGGGAGAGGCAGCTCCCACTCCTGCCCTGGGCCACTTCCTACCTGGATCCCCAGGCTTCCTTCCCCCGTATTTGCCCAGCTTGCTGCGAGCTCCAGGCCAGCATCCCCTCAGCAGGCAGTCCCTGGGTTGCACCAACTCACCTCCACGTCCCTTCTGGCCTCTCCTAGAGTCCCCAGCCACAGCTGAGTAGGAGCTCCCTACACCAGTCCTTCTCCTCCAGCTGCCTCTCCTGACTGAGTCCTTCCCCAGGCTTTTATAGCACAGCTACAGCCTGGGCATGCTCAGTAGGGCTGTGGGGGGAGGGGCCTCTGCAGCCAGGTAACCCTGGCTGAGCCCTGCAAGTTCAGTGCGGGGCTGCCTCGCCCCATCACACACACCTACGCTTACCCCATTCCTAGAGCTCAGGGTGTAACTTCCTGCAGGTTTGCAGGATCTTTTGCCACTGAAAGAGCCTTACACAGTAATACTCTTATTCTCTATTTATTGAAAATTCCCAAGCAGAAAGAATACACATGCTAAGCATATAGTGTCATGCTCACCAATCCTGATAAAGGCAGGAAAACTTCCTGTTGGCCAGACAACATCAGTCTCTCTGGATATTAGCTGCTGCATGCCATGTTGTTACACAAAGACTGAGGTGGAAAAAAGCATATATGTGTTCATCTCTCTTATTTTCTCTTCAAACTACAGTACAGGAACTATACTAAGCCGGTATGTTCTTAAAATCTGTTCAAGTCACTCAAAAATCTAATTTAGATTTTCCCTTTGTCTGTCACAAACAAAATATTTTTACTAATTAATTCTTCCATATGTATCAAGAGACTAGTGAATTCTCCTGCTGGCTGGTCTTAAAATTGTGTGTCAAATACAACAACACAAACAAGGCATAGAGTCCAAACACTTCACTGTGATTTTTTTACTGACCTGGACTAGTCAACTATGGCTCTTGGAACTGCAGCAATCCTTTCCCAGCATTCAGTCACTTTTCAGTGGAAGGAGGTCTAATGTGTGCTACATCCGTAATCGGAGGCAGTGCCAGGGCCTCTGTACTCTGATGTTTGCAGGGTCTCCATTTGACCTTGGATCAGCCTTGCACCTGGAGGCCCTGGGGTTGCTCTCCTACTCTCATATGTAAAACTTCTCTTTGAAATGCAATAGTCACACACTTTGCTCCCTGGGCCTAGTTTTAGTAACAGCTTCCCAAAGGGGGAAAGGTCTTTCTGCTGTCTGGTTTTATAATTGGATGAAGTTCTGGGAACAGCCTTTCTACCCAGAGCATTTTTGAAGCAGGAGCAGTTTTTTTCCATTGTCAGGCAGGTCTCCTGGCTCTGAGCCAGCAGCCTCTAGCCTGAGGGATTAAATTTCGTTGAACAACAGTAATATGCATATTAACCTAATCTAGAATCATTTAAAAAACATACTCTATAGCGATGGAAGAATGACTTCTGCCCTTGCATGACTACATTTCTTAGTGAACCATTTTTTCACATGTGCTTGTATTTGTAATCTTTTGGTTAACTTATTCCTTCCCCCACCAGGGTGACTCCAAGTGATAAATTTGCTATGCTAGCTAATTCGCTTCCATTACAAGAGCTCACTTCCCTTCTGTTCCTCTAGACCTTCCCATTTATGTTCCCTCTATATGATTAATCCTCCTCCGCTGGGGCCATAGTGTATACTCTTGCCCCTATAGCCTTTTAAAATTCTTTTTGCAAATAAAGAACTCCTGATAGGTACAGATGTTGCCTGAGAATAACTTCCAGGGCTGCCCCAGCCCTCTTCAGTTAAATCAGATTCACAGCATGCATTGATATACAGGCAGTCCCCGGGTTACGTACAAGATAGGGACTGTAGGTTTGTTCTTAAGTTGAATCTGTCTGTAAGTCGGAACTGGCGTCAGCCGCTGCTGAAACTAACCAGCGGCTGACTACAGGAAGCCCGAGGCAGAGTTGCTCTGCCCCAGGCGCCCTGATTCAGCCGCTGCTGGTCAGTTTCAGCAGCGGCTGACGCCAGTTCCGACTTACAGACAGATTCAACTTAAGAACCCCAGGCGTCCCCAAGTCAGCTGCTGCTGAAACTGATCAGCGGCTGATTCCAGGAAGCCTGGGGCAGAGCAACTCTGCCTCGGGCTTCCTGTAGTCAGCTGCTGGTTAGTTTCAGCAGCGGCTGACGCCAGTTCCGACTTACAGACAGATTCAACTTAAGAACCCCAGGCGTCCCCAAGTCAGCTGCTGCTGAAACTGATCAGCGGCTGATTCCAGGAAGCCTGGGGCAGAGCAACTCTGCCTCGGGCTTCCTGTAGTCAGCTGCTGGTTAGTTTCAGCAGCGGCTGACGCCAGTTCCGACTTACAGACAGATTCAACTTAAGAACCCCAGGCGTCCCCAAGTCAGCTGCTGCTGAAACTGATCAGCGGCTGATTCCAGGAAGCCTGGGGCAGAGCAACTCTGCCTCGGGCTTCCTGTAGTCAGCTGCTGGTTAGTTTCAGCAGCGGCTGACGCCAGTTCCGACTTACAGACAGATTCAACTTAAGAACCCCAGGCGTCCCCAAGTCAGCTGCTGCTGAAACTGATCAGCGGCTGATTCCAGGAAGCCTGGGGCAGAGCAACTCTGCCTCGGGCTTCCTGTAGTCAGCTGCTGGTTAGTTTCAGCAGCGGCTGACGCCAGTTCCGACTTACAGACAGATTCAACTTAAGAACCCCAGGCGTCCCCAAGTCAGCTGCTGCTGAAACTGATCAGCGGCTGATTCCAGGAAGCCTGGGGCAGAGCAACTCTGCCTCGGGCTTCCTGTAGTCAGCTGCTGGTTAGTTTCAGCAGCGGCTGACGCCAGTTCCGACTTACAGACAGATTCAACTTAAGAACAAACCTACAGTCCCTATCTTGTACGTAACCCGGGGACTGCCTGTACATTAAGACTTCGGGTTTGGTTTGTTATCTGGGCCCCTGAAGGGGTAATAATGGTGAGGAAACTATTAGATAGTTGATCCTCACCTGCTCCAGGAACTCAAATCTATTTCTCCCAGAATGTCTATAGCACATTAATACAACGGAAGTTGGTAGATACTGATACAGATACACTCCCTCTCAGGAGTGCCCTCTTTTTTGCAAGTTCAAATATGGTAACCCTACCCAGTAGGGTGGCTGCAATACAAAAGTGTGATGAATAAAGATGGTGGACTAGGATAAGTAGAAGTCTTCCTGAATCCAGAATTCTAACTGAATCAGAATGGGACCATTTTGAATTGAACCACTGTTTTTGAGATTCCAAAATTTTCAAATGTCTCGCCTCTCTTTTTCATCTTTGCATTTTCTGTTCCTAATTGGAAGTGGAAGAAGAAATGCAGAAACAGAAGGGAGGCAGCTGTAGCAATGTCACTCAAGGATGCAACATGGGCCAGTGGATAGGGCGCTGTCCTGAGTTCCAGTTCTGGTTCTTCTACTAACCTTGGGCAAGGTGACTCTTTTCCTATGTGACATTGGGCAAGTCCCTTCTATCTAGCCCAACAGCAGCTCCCAGATGCTAGGGTAATACAATCAATTAATGCTAAGACTTTTCAGAAGCAGGAAGTCTCATGGGAGACTTAGATGAAATCCTGCTAGCTTACATCCACGGAATCTCAGGTCCATACAATGTGCTGGTTGTACACATTTCTTATTAGTGCTTTTAGGAGAGCAGAGATGTTGACAGTTGCATCTTCTGCTCCTCGGATTCTGCTTTTCAGGTGGGATTCCATGGGATACCTGGTATTGCTTCTGATTAAAGAAGAGGGATGTTCTCCTGGCTTGCATGTTGTGCATACCATAGAAATTTGTGCTATTTGTCAGGAGAGGTGAGCCAGTACATATATAACTGACTACAGTAAAACTCTGATAGTCCAGCATCCAACTGTTTGGCACACCCGATACTCCGGCATCAAAATGCCAAGCGCTCCTGACCAGCTGATTAAAAAGCCTGCCGCTCAGCATCTGTGCTGGCAGTAACCAGAGGGAGCATAAGGTTGGGGGACGGGGAGTGGGATCGTGTTACAGTACGGAGAAGAGCATTTTGCTTCAGCGAAGGGGAAAGGGGAGGGGAGGGGGAGGAGGATCAGGTTACAGCACGGAGGAGATGCAAAGAAGAAAGGGGAGGTGAGAGGGAGGGAGTTTAAGTCCTGGCCAGTTGTTAAGCCGTGAAGCTGTACCGGACCTCCCGATTCTCCAGCAAATCTGATAATCCGGCACCACCTAGGGCCAAAAGGTGCCGGATTATCGGAAGTCTATTGTATGTGGTATGTTTGACTTCCGATTTGGCCAGTCAGTAAACAATCTCCCCTGGTTAGAAATCCCTACGATTATTCCTTCATGAAAATGCTTCATTTCAGTAGAATAATGGTATAAGAATAGGAAGGCAGTTTGCCCCTTTATTGTCCAAGATGTCCCGGGCTAGCCAGCCCTGCCATAGCTGTGCTGCATGTAGCATTTAAAATGGGAGGAAGGCCAGTAGAAGGATAAAAGTTGAGCTGGGTTGTGGCTGGAGATCTTAGCCACAGGACAGGATCTAATGCTCCAGAGAGGCAATCCTAGGACTGGTGCTCCCCAGGAGAAGAGGTATTCAAGAGGCTACCATCTAGGGAGAGATGAAAGTTGTGGGCTAATGTTTAAACCTCCTCAAAAAATGAGGTTTACCGGTTATTTCAAAAGAAGAGGCTACAAAGCGTTTGTTATAGGGTATTTCGAAATAGCGGTGGTCCACGATTATGCAACTTAAGCACGGAAAATTCAAATCCGCGCTTCATTTGCAATTTCACTCAGCTGTATTTGCATCCCTCTCTCAAAGGAGGGTGCAAGTGTAGAAATACCCCAACAGATGTATTAGGGCATAAGCTTTCATCAAAGAGGGTACTTGTGTAAATTAGGCTAATCAAGTCAGGATGGAAGTGCCTCGTTCACAGCAGTTGAGCCACTGCAACCCTGTGGATATCAAGAGAGGGGAAATTACCTTTGTAATGTGTTAACCAGTTAGGATCCTTATTCAGTCCTCAAACAATAGCATTGAATTTGCAAATGAATTGCAGTTCAACTGTCTCCCTTTGTAATCTGGTTGAAATTCTTTTGTAGAAGGATGGCTATTTTCAAATTCGTTACCTATAGGTTTATTTGTGTTACCATTCCTAATGTAGCCATTTATCCTTTGGCACATAGAAACTCCTTGTTATTAAGTTTTGATTGATTTAGAGTGACTTTTCTGCTGCCTGCATGTGCAGCCAGATAAAGAGTCTGAAGAGGCCAACTTGGGGAAGCCAGCCTGGAGCCTGAACAACTGGGCTTGGGTACCCCAGAAAGGGGCTGAATCTTTATGTGTGACTGGATCACTGAATCTTTATGTAGCTGGATCACCCAGAAGTCTAGCAGGTGGGCTACCAAAAGAGTGATATTGAGTGAAGACTTCCTGCAGTGCTGCTTTCTGATCCAATGCGGGTACACTTGGTGGGGCATGTACCCTCAGGCAAACAGTTTTACACCAGCTGAGAGTCTGGTCCACACGTTTTGTCTGGGTGATTCAAGAATTCAGCCAGAACCCATCATAGAGATGATCCTTGCTCTCTAGTATCTGTAATCATTGCAATTCAAAACAAATACATACCATAGCAACCTTTATTTCACCTTTATAGGTACATAAACAAATGACACTTAATACACAAATACAAGTCAATGGGTTTTAACATTAATGTCAACATTCACTTTTCAAATCATTGCAAAAAAGTTGTCCGCTTCCGGATATCACCTCATTAGATGGAAGTTCACTATCAAATATTAATCAAATGTTAATTACAGGGGACTTTCCTTAAACCGGGAGAGAAGAGGGTCTTTCCATTTTTACATCAGGAACTGGTCTTGAAGTTGCCAAAATGATTTCAAAATGGGGCAGGCTCATTTCACTACTTGCACCAGTTTTACATAATTCCAGTGACTTTAATGGTGTTTCTCTGGCTGTACACTAGCTTGAAAAGAGACTCAGGACCCATAACTTCAGTTTTATGAGGAAAATGCTGTCCACTGCTCAATGTAAGAAACTAGACTAACCAGAAATAACACTATTCACTAAACTCACCTGCATTACATGGAAATAGACTAGTTCACACCAGTTGAAGATTTGGCCCCAGGAACATAAACTTTATGGAAAGAATCTAAAAGTCTCCAGTAAGTTCTTTGGAAATGTACTCATTGTGA